AAGGTACGGTATAGAGGAGTAAGGTACGCGGTATAGAGGAGTAAGGTACGGTATAGAGGAGTAAGGTACGGTATAGAGGAGTAAGGTACGCGGTATAGAGGAGTAAGGTACGGTATAGAGGAGTAAGGTACGGTATAGAGGAGTAAGGTACGCGGTATAGAGGAGTAAGGTACGGTATAGAGGAGTAAGGTACGGTATAGAGGAGTAAGGTACGCGGTATAGAGGAGTAAGGTACGGTATAGAGGAGTAAGGTACGGTATAGAGGAGTAAGGTACGCGGTATAGAGGAGTAAGGTACGGTATAGAGGAGTAAGGTACGGTATAGAGGAGTAAGGTACGCGGTATAGAGGAGTAAGGTACGGTATAGAGGAGTAAGGTACGGTATAGAGGAGTAAGGTACGCGGTATAGAGGAGTAAGGTACGGTATAGAGGAGTAAGGTACGGTATAGAGGAGTAAGGTACGCGGTATAGAGGAGTAAGGTACGGTATAGAGGAGTAAGGTACGGTATAGAGGAGTAAGGTACGCGGTATAGAGGAGTAAGGTACGGTATAGAGGAGTAAGGTACGGTATAGAGGAGTAAGGTACGGTATAGAGGAGTAAGGTACGCGGTATAGAGGAGTAAGGTACGATATAGAGGAGTAAGGTACGATATAGAGGAGTATGAGTTTGTTGGTCTGAAGCAGGGATGGATCCAGCTAGATCTGGTAGGGGGAGGTGTGGTCATCACGTGAGCCTTGGTCATGGTTTGCCGTACGACTTTTGACCAAGTGTATGATCACTAGATGAAAACGCTATCCTCTCATGAAAACAGATAAATAAGTACAGACATGCTGCAAGTGGAAAAACATACTTGTATAGGTAACATTTCTCATGATTTAAGAAAATGTACAAATCATTTTTATGCAGACTCATGCAGTTGTGTCGAGTCAGATGGATCCAGTCAAAGTTATCACGAGATTGGGAGTCGAAGATCGAGAGTTCGTAGCAACTGAAGAAGGTTAGCATAAGATACATAATGTACTTATAATGTAAATATTTACCCATATTTACCATACCTTAACATGGCTAGTACCTTAGTATATATGCATGAACTTGTGGTTGCAGCTCGATAACTGGACTCTTTTAATTTCCATCTACAAAACCCTCCAACTATAATGTACTTAATAATATTAATATACATAAAACTAGACTAACTGTATAAATAAAGTTAGCTAAGAGTTTGGTTCAATATACTCTATGGCGTTGCTACTGATATCTTGTTTTTAGATCCCAGATATGTGTACCCATTACTGGATAAATTCGCTGTGCAGTTGATATCACCGTTCAGCTGGGAGATCATTCCAAACACGAGGTAAAATAGCCAAATAATCTAACGTGGTTTGTGTATTAATCTAAGTGTTGGTAATCATTCTCAAGTACTGTAGTTAAGAAACAAACTTTAGCAGTATATACTGTAGAATACCGTGGACTGGACAGAATACACTGGACCCACCGTTGAGGACCCACCCAGCGTGGAATGCGATCTTATACCGGCTATAAATGTCTTTCTTTATACTTGATCATTCAGATTTGAACTGGAGGATTACGAGCGAGTGACGACAATGAAAAATATCACACTGAAGAGTGAAGAAACAGTCTCAGGGATGAAAGGATTTATTGTTGTTGGTACGACATATGTTTATGGCGAAGATCTTCCCTGTAAAGGACGAGTAAGTTACACCAGGAGTTGCACATCTTCACACCTGCACAGTCAGATATTTGAGGACTATATTTTTGTTGATATTTATTGAGTTACACCTCTTAGCTACACCGTCAGATGTTTGATGACTATATTTTTCTTCATATTTATTTCTTGAAAGGTTTTATGCACTCTTGTATACGATTGAAAGTTCACTTGCTCGCGTGTACGGTGGAGACGAAACGTATTTTGTATTTGTTTTATTTGAAATTTCGTTGTAGATTTTGATATTTGATATTATTGAAGTCGTCCCAGAACCTGGACAACCGTTGACAAAAAACAAGTTCAAGGTAATCAATAGGTTCATTATAATGTAAAGCCAGGAGAACGAGAATTGATGACAGACTGAGAGTTGCAACTCTTTCTCTCTCGCGTTTGACCGTCTTAGAGTTTTTGTTCGTTTTTCTGGTAATATCTAGCCAACTCTCATCTACCATACAACTCTTGTTCTCGTTTGATCGGGACATGAGATTTGATGAAACATATACAAACTCTCACCTGCCAAATTTCATTCACGTTTGACCGTAGCAATTTTTCATATATACACACAGTGCAATGCAGTTTTCAAACCCCATTCTGACACATGACAGAGCTTTTGAATTATCTTTTTAGGCGTTGTATCGGAAAGAACAAAAAGGGCCAGTAACAGCAATTTGTGAAGTTGCAGGATTTTTGTTGACCGCAATCGGCCAAAAGGTAAAAATTTTTGCCTCTTTTTACAAAATATCAAATATATATTATATATTATACGTGGCTGCATTGGATTCTACATTTTCAATTTTTTCGTTTTTTTCTTTAGATTTACATTTGGGATTTTAAGAACTGTAATGACCTGATTGGAGTAGCATTTATCGACACCCAACTTTACATCCATACCGCAATAACTGTGAAAAACCTGATTCTTATTGCTGATATCTCCAAGAGTGTCACGCTGCTACGTTTTCAGGTAAAATGTCTGTGTTCGACTTGTTGAAAGTCTCATGACTTTTCTGACTGTCAACTGAATTGGATTTACAGCAAGCAGCGCATTGCACCTCGATAAACAGAGTTTATGTTATTTTTGCAGGAGGAAACAAAAACGCTTGCCTTTGTGTCAAGGGTACGTATGTACAGTATATTTTAGTTCATCTGACACCTACGATCTTGGACAAAACCCTTGAGACAGTTCCAGCCACCGTTCAATGTTGTAAACACCCCCTCCCGTTCAATGTTGTAAACAACGCCGAAACAACCTTTAGTAATTTACCATGACATTGAGTTGGGGGAGCGGGGGCTTAAGAAGGGCAACATGATTCACCATGGAGTTTGTCATGAGGGGTATGCGAATTTTGAATAGGGGGAGAAATAGTCTCAACCAGTTATGTCCAAGATTGTAGAGAATGTCTTGGAACTATCACACAATGCAAAGGAATAAAATAGTATGTACATGAAGTACTTTATCATGTGGTATTTTTATTGAAGGATCCAAATCCGTTAGAAGTGTACGGAACAGAATTCTTTGTGGATGGATCACAGCTAGGATTTCTGGGTAAGACGCACTCTATCAGTTTCATGACACTTTTATTTATTTATTTATTTATTTACTTAAGACATTTGCAACAAAGACGAGTTGACAGGAGACAAGCAATAGGACACATGGTCCCAGGTCCCTTACAAGGCTTGACTCCAACTCCTTTCATTTGCTGTTTGTTACTGTCTGTTATTTTATACTTGTTCTTATCTCAGTTTCAGATAATGATATGAACTTGGTTGTGTACCGTTACAAGCCTGAAGGTAAGCTCAGAGCGTGAAACGTATTGGTGTGTTTAGCGTTCCGGGACCAGCAGATGGTGGTCAACCTGAGGGTGAGGTTGTACCAGCCCTGGAAAACATAGGAATGATACTCACGCCTGTATTCTAAAAGCTCACTCACGCTCAAAGAGTGGAGGTTCAATCTGAGCTTCTCTTGGAGGGTTAGTGTCATACCTTACTATGTGACTACTCACCCTCCAGCTATTCAAAAACAGCATACACACTCAAGGGAAACTCAGATTGAACCTCCACTCTTTGAGTGTGAGTGAGCTTTTAGAATACAGGCGCAAGGCTTTCATTAAAAATTTCAATTTGCTCTAACTTTATTTGGTTTAGAAAGCTTGAAAAAATCACTATCCAGTGGATAACGCTCCCCAGCTTTCGTACAACTGACCGCCAGAAATAATAACAATACAGTCGAAGCAAGCAAACTAAACTGCTACAAAATGAACCGGATAGTCTGATGTGTTTTTTACATTAAACTCTTCTTCTTAATATTTTGTTTTCTTTTTCGAAACAGATCCAGCAAGCATAGGTGGTCAAAAACTTTTGCACACCGCTGACATTAACATCAGCAGCTGTGTGACGTCATTTTTCAGATGTCGCGTCAGATCAGAAAAGACTGGTACGGACAAACCAAAGGACTTAAGACAGGCATCGTGGTTTGGTAAGGAAATCTCGAGAATAAGTTGTATATTTTGCCCATGTTACGTGTTCTGGTTTAGAAACTGAACTAACTTTTAATATACTGGATAGCTCTATCAGTTCTAAACTCTTCTCACAACAGTTGAGAGTCACACCTAGAGTCAAACTCTTAGTTTGATAGTTTATTTGACACTAAACTTACAGCTCCAGAATATATCTAATTCCACTGCTGAAATATGTTAGATTTACAAAGATATTAAGAAAGATAAACTAACTTTTACAAGTATTTTGCTTATGAAAATGAATAAGATTAGATTGAAAATACACATTCACATACACATATGCGCAGAGTCGCAGGCTTATAATTTGTTACTAAAACACTCACTGGTGCTATAATTTAAATTAGGTTAAAAAACCAGCATATTCGTGGTAAAAACAGTTTCTAAGTTATTCAGAAAACTTATTAGAGTTATAAGTGATAAAACTGTTCATAAATCTGTTCGTTTTATGAAGTGGCACGTTAAATTTCCTAGTTTTACGCAAAAAGTGGCTATTGTCTTTATTTAATGGCGATAACAAATCTTCTCCCTTCGTCACATGACACTGAAGCCTTAAGGCCCGCAATTTTCGCTGCGATTTCTAATGAGAACAAGAGTTGCATGAGACTGGAAATTTCTGCGCAAGTAGCGTAAATTATCCTCATTTGGCTGGAGCTTAAGGCGAAATTAGAATAATTTCATAGATTTGGACAACTGTTTAATATATTTATATGGTTACATTATATAGGAACGCTTGAAGGTGGTGTAGGTCTAGTTCTGCCTGTGCCTGAGAAAACATTCCGACGTCTACATATGGTTCAAAATATGTTAATACATTGTATTCCACACTACGCTGGCCTCAATCCTAAAGCATTCAGGTAGTGCATCATCGTTATTTATAAAGTTGAATTGACTGTTTTTCCTCAAATAATTTTCCGACCATCTTCTCCCTACAGACTTCTTCGTTGGAAACATCGTCCACTTGACAACCCACAGCATCACATACTGGATTTTGAATTGCTGAGTAAATTCGTTCACCTTGGCGCTGTGGAACGGCTAGAGGTAACCCGCAAAGTTGGCGTCTCACCCGCACAGGTATGAATACAATTTGCCTGCTTTCAGGGCGTGTGAGCATATGTGTATGAAGATGTGCGAGTCACACTGAATAACATTGATTAAAACCTGACCCTAAAACAACCCTGAATCCTGAAACAATCCTGAACCCTAAACATGGCTGAAGTGTTTAAAAAGGGTTCAGCGTTGTTTTAGGGTCAAGCTGTAGTCAATGTTCTTTTCCCTTTCACTTGCATATTTAATGTGTTGAGGACATGAAATTATAGTAGAATCTTCATTCCCTGCATGGTTTACGCTATCCAGTTTATACTTCGCGATCAGTGAGTGAAATATGGTCTGTATTTCTGACATAGATTTTGGATGATCTGATGGAGATTGAAACGGCGACGTCACATTTTTAGTTGTGTATAAGGTACTCAAGTTAGCAAACGTAAATTGTCCTTCCCAGCTCACATGTAAATAGACACGGGGTGACCATGTATATACTGGGCACTTGAAAGTGACGTCACAACACGTATTTGTTGACTTCCTAAATTTTGGGTGGCAAGTTAACAATTGTGAATTAAAAGCAAACTTAGCGTCAAAGCAAGCAAGACTCAACTGACTTGAGCACTTTGAAGAGTTTCAGTTGAATTAAAAGATTTTTGCCACCCAAAATGGTGGATAATTTTTTTATGATACGTGATACCATAAGCACGCCTGAAGTCCCTTCTTATTGGAGGTCCCTACAGGAACTCTTCTACTTATTCTATTTTATTGCTACATCACCTTCATGTGGTGCAGATAGGCGGTATGGAACCATTGAGCTCTATATATACTGGAGCGAGAACTCGAGTCCAAAAAGTGAAGTCAGCTTTGTGTCAACCGCGCAGACAAAAACAATAGAAAGGGACTGGAACTGACGTCCAATAACCCTTCAATTTCCGCCATCTTGCCAAAGAGTGTGTTGAAATTTCGTTCTTTGATATCGATTTAAAGAATAACACTATTGTTTTATGCACTGATAACTTGGTTAGCGATACGGTCCGTTAGAAAAAAACTGCAATTAGCTGAGGAAAAATGGTATAAAAACTGTTCACGATCTTCATAGCTATAGGACGTCAATGGCCGCCATCTTGACTTCACTTTTCTCATAGACCGAATGACTGAAGTTCTTACTCCAGATATATATAGAGAGATCCCTGTATGGAACTCGTACCCGAGTAATCTCTGAACACATGCACACGCTATCAAAAACACTCCATCAAATACGGTAAACTGTAAGAACGTGAGGCAGGAATAACAATAATTTACACCGTAGAAGAAACAGTGTTTTATTATAACACATTGTCATAAAATCTTCCCTATTATACATTGCAAAATTTACCAATCCATTGTGCAATAAGCTGACGTGGTTTGCATTTGAACTACCTTTGCGCGAACGCCGTTCGTCAGGCTGGTAGTGGCTACAATAAATATCCTGACACTCAAGTTAGCGCAAAAGGTTGAAGTGTTTATATCGTTCAGGCAGACCAGACACAAACCGCGGCAGCTCAAAGTTTATATACTCCAGTTTGTGTGACATTAAATTTGTCCGATGCTAAAGTACAGTACAAGCTCTTAAAAGAAAACCTGTCACGTTTTAGGGGGAGTTACTATTTTTAGACTTTTGTAATTTCATATTCTTTTGTATTTTAAACTTAACCCGGAATCCTAAACCTAACCCTTACTCTAATCTTAATCCTAACCCTTTCCCTAATCCAAACCCTAATCCTAAAAGTCTAAAAATAGTAACTCCCCCTAAAACGTGACTCATATGAGTTGTGGGCACTTAAGGGGTACAATCAGATAGCCAACTTAACTAGAGGGACAGTAACCATTTATCCATCATCATTCTTCGACATCCGTAATTGTTCACTGTATCCATTTCTACCGACGCAAGAGTACCACCGATATTGCAGCTGTTCCAACAAGTAGCGAGAACAACAAAGGTAACTGCCACGTACGCACTGCGTGCCTATTTTTTCTACTCCTTTGCCATTCCAAAGGAAGACTTACGGCTCCGGTGACAACTTTCATTAAAACTTTTGCGCCTTCGTTGACATTCTCATTGTCTAATAAGGTCGGAATTTCATTTCCGCACCAAGCTATGTAAAGATCTGGACGAATCAACACAAAGTCCTAAATAAATGTAGTAGGGAGTTAAGGCCATGTTACACGGTGCAATTTTTCTTGCAACTTGCAATGTAATTACATTGAGAGATGTAAAATTGCCAAATACGAGTCTTCATTACACTCCGCTGATGTTTTCTCGACATATCGAAAATTCTTCACAGATTTCACTAATTAACATCTCTCAAGAGTAGAATTGCATTGCAAGTTGCAAGAAAAATTGCACCGTGTAACATGGCCTTTAGTTGTTGTTTGCTCACCATTAAAAACGTTATCGGACACATGTTTTCTGAAGTGTTTTCCTGTGTTCGAAACATTGTTGCTGAAATAACATAATTTCCTAACGTAGGGGAAAACCTCGTATTTCTTTTCAATGCTTTTATGTTTGCGAATAAAACGCTGAATGCAATGATGAAAGCTGATTGGTTGTTGAGCGCTACGACGCATTGTGATTGGTTGCGAGGTTTTGGCGGGAAAATGTATTAAACTTCTCGGTAACGTTTTCATTGAAATTAGGAAGAACTATATCTCAATTTTAACCGAATAAAACATTGTCAAAAGTGTCTTAGGTAAGTTATATTTGTTCACTTTCCAAACTGTCGCTCTCTAGTATTATAGTTTCGTGTATGTTTACTTTTAGAGGCTTGAATTTTATATTTCTATTTTCCTATTATATTTAGTGACTTACCATTCCTCGGTAGAATGTTTTCAATTTCTCATCTTCAAGTGAAACAACCTTGAATAGAAGAGTAAAGTCAGTAAACTATATTTATAAGGTTAATATTGTATTGGATATATCAGAGGTGGGATACCATGTTAGGGTGTATTCTACAATAAGCTGCGGGGATTGACTTTGTGACACCCTTTGTCGCGCGGTTAGCAGATTGGGAACTACCTAGTTCTGGTCAAACGAGGACGAGAATCCATGAGAGTTGGCAAGCGAGAATTTACGTCATAGTTTTCAACTCGGTTAAACGAGAGCAAGAGTTACATGAGAATTGAATGGATATTACCGCGCTCATGGCGAAAACTCTCATCAAAGTTTGAACCAGCTCAAAGTTGATGAGAGCTGGCGGAAAGTTGCAACTCTCATAAACTCTCATCCTCGTTCGGCCTGAAGGCTTAAAACATGGCGTGATTGACGTGAGTCTTGTATAGTCAAATTTTTAAATGGAAACAATATACAATACCTTGAGTGGAATACCACAATGCGCGGCTGCCGACATCAGTGGATCATAATTTTGTTCCGATGGTTTAAGATAAAGAAGTGTAAATGCTGAACCTAAGAATACAGGATAAGGTATGCTGTAGTGTGATCAAATTAGAATTGCAAATACGGAAAATCCTTTGTCAAATTCATCCAACATGGCGGCGATGACGTAACGTGAAAGGCCACCTCCATACCAATGATACCAACCTAGTTTATCGTACAGTGTACTGCCATCGTCAAACTGGTAGTGAGGTGCCCGACATCCGGGCAATGCTGTAGGTGTGTAGCTCAAAGGATTATCTGGGGGTAAAGGTATACTACATGGGATACATAGAGGTGAAGACTCTAGTCTTAGTCCAAAGAGGATACCTGGAGAGAAAAGACGTTTGGGTTAAGTTTTTTGTGTAACGGCGGTTTCCAGAAATCAGTGTTTCCAGAACCTACGAGTCTAACCTACATTACTTTGGCTACAGAGCCTCGTTTTCGTGTATGTGACATCCGAGAGTCTACGACCTATGGCACGGCCGGCTCAACGACGCCGTCTGAATTTCGACTCACGAATGAGCGCTAACTGCTAAGCAATTTCATTGCTGTAATAAATATTTGAAGCTTTTTCAAATAACCTTACAAACTGCTAAGTTCGGCTAAAGCGATGCAATGTTTGCTGTGATTTCGACTTTAATGAAAAATTTCTTTGTTTCGAAAGCGCGTCGTTGAGCCGGCCGCGTCGGAGATATAGCAAACTCTGTGTTAGTTAAAGCCCAACGTCCGCAATTACGAAAACGAGGCTCTATACTGTACAAGGTTCATGGGTGTAATACATAAAAGATTCACTCACCAGACACTCCAATATTCAAATTAGATGCATCCATGTGAAAGAACCTGCTCAGTATGAAATTAAAGGGCCGAGTCCTAACCAGAAATGCAAATATTCCAGCGTAGTTTTGAAGTATGTAGAACATTCGTCTAACTCTGTCCAGAACTCCGTTGATGAAGGGTAAACGCTCTGCCTAAAGACGGACAGAACATATTGAACCAGACTGAAAAGTTTTATTTTGCGCAGGAAACATTTTTTCCTGGGGGAGAAATATGCAGAAATCTCAGATATTTTCACATTTTGAATGGGAAGATTGAAATGACTTTTCCCTCACTATAGAAACTTCATGTAAGCCTCTGCGGAGGAGAGAGAGGTTCCGTACCGTATAACTAGCCAGTAATTTTTCACCTCCCCAACCATTGAGTGTGGCAACCAACTTCCAGCCTAAATCATAAGCATCAAGCACGCCAGTATTCATCCCAAAACCGCCAATAGGGATCATAACATGGCAAGCGTCACCTGATAACAGAATGATAGCGAAGAATAGGATGAAATGTAATTTCTAGGAATGGACCTATTACCTATAAAAATTTTCTATCCGAAATTTTGCTTACCATTAGCACGATTTCATACAGGATGGGTTTTCCATGCAAATGGTAAACAATCCTTATCTCCGCATTAAATTACCTGCAAGAAAGACACGACCCTGTTGCAATGTTTCAGCTGACGCAAAATGTCCCTGCCAATCATTAGCGAACACAACATTACACGATATATCCTCGTTATCCAACAATAACTTCAAATACTCCTCTGGTTTCAACTGTCCTTCGTACCGCATAATATGTGAAACAAAAAGACCCTCTTTATTAATAGGCACTGTAAGGGCCTGAATATGAGATTTCGCGGTTACTGCTCCTAAAACAGTGTCGACGACAAATCGTTCCTTCAGTTCTTGTGATATGAAACTTATGGATTTCATGTGAGCCAAGTCAAATTGACCTTTGAAATGAATGCCTGTGAAACATGAAAAAACACAATGTTTAGAATGGCAACAACGTGCCAAAGTCGCATGAATTTCTCTACATTGTAAAAACATTCTGGTTAATTTAACCGGAATAGGTAATGCCCCACCCCCTTGCATAACACCTGGCCTAAAGGCCCATTTCCACTCAGGAAAATTTTCCGCAGAAAGAAAATTTTGTGAAATGTTATTAGCCGACACAAAATTTCCGTCGGAAAAAATTTTGAAGTTGAAAATTAACAATGACATTTTCGGAAAATTTTCTGTCCGTGGAAATGCGCCTTCATAATAGTGCCATCAAATGGCGATCCAGGAATCGAAATGTTCCATTGCCTTTTTATTGTTTTGAATATCCCACTGTTCTCGATGTCATCCATCTTTCAATTTCACTTCTATTAGCATTTATGCGAATTCTGACCAGGTGACTGTTAAGTGTTGTATAACCACCACTGGAAATCCAAATTCCTGTACCTGTTTCAGGATAGATAAATTACCAGGAAAATTAAACCCAAGTAGCGTTATTTTTTATTTAACCAGGAAATTTGAACCATAATGTGTTTGTAGTGTATCTTTGACCATAGTCTTTCGAGACATGGTCTGGAAACTCAGTAAACTTCAAAGCAGTTTTAACGAGCTGGGAGTTTATGTTGAGCCGTACCTTACACCGTGCACATCTTTTGTTTTAGGTTTATTAATATTTAAATAGCATGGTTGAATGAATGACTGAACTGAAACGTTGCTATTGGATGATTCGTTCATTATACTGACATACAATGTGTTCATTGACCGTGCACCGTGCACAAAACTGCATAAACGCGAACAAAAAGATAGAACAAGGACTTTAGCGGAGTTTCCAAACCATGTTTTGAAAGACTATGCTTTGACCCAACTCAAAGCTGATGAAAGTTGATGTCCATTGGTGGTCAAACGCTAGCCTGCGTAGCAGTCGCTTTATTTTATTGTAGGTTTTGAGGACTTTTTTGAGAAAAATTTTTCTAACTCGCCATTTATTCAAAAATCCTCAAAACCTACAATAAAATAAAGCGACTGCTACGCAGGCTAGTCAAACGCGAGCGAGAATTATGACCGGGGCTTAAGCATAGCTTATGAAAATCTTTTTACCCAATGACTTTCTCACAAAACTTTTTCCACCATCGCAGCCAACAGCGTACTGAGCATGGTAAACTTTCCTTTCCCCAGATTTCCCATTGACGGCTTCGATTGTCACTTGGTCCTGATTTTGAGAAATTGCTTGAACTTGCCAACCAAACTTTATTTCGCTACTTGCATATTCATTGGCAGCTTTCTAAAATGAGTAGATTGTCTCTCAGTCGAACTTATTTCTGACCAGTATCCAAGGCATTTTTTAATACCATGGACTGGTACTGGGCCCCTTCCTCTGCCCCACCACTAAAGAAAAATAATGGCCAATTGCCCCAAAGCCAGGGCCCTAAGACTTGTATTGAGTAAATGAGTTTAACATTGAAAAGAAGTTTAAAAAACAAAATTTGTTATGTGTTTGAATGTTTAGCATGCAATTTATTACAAATTTAACCATTAAAACTTTTTTTTGAGAGGCTGAGATTTTTTTTAAATGTGTTCTCAGAATGCAGGAAACGCTATTTGAGAGACCTACATTTTCTGGGGGGGGGGGAGCCCCAGACCCCCCTAGTTAATTCGTGCCTGCGGTACTCGGCTCACACCGTCGGCAACTGCATAGTATCGTGGGGGCAAGGCAAGGAAAATGGGACCTTTCGCAAGTACTTGCGTAAAAATCTCGCATCTTGGCAACAGAATGTGTTAAATTAAAGCTTGTTTTCCACTTGCAATTTTTGCTGCGATTTTCTTCTTCTGATGGATTAAACGACTGGATGAGTTATGAATGTTCAGATGAGGTTATACCGTAGATTCAGAATATCATAGCTCTCTACTCGTTTCCATGCATCAGAAGAAGAAAAATTATAAGTGTAAACGGGCCTTCAGACTTGTAGCAAGCTTGTCAACAAGTAAGTTGTAACAATGTTGTCATTTTATCAAGTTGCTATTATTATTATTATAAGTTGCTACAAGATTATCACAAATCTATCTATGCAAAATTCCTACTGTGATCACAGAAACATTTATAGTGTAAACCAGGCTTTAATAGAACCAAATCCTTACTTTCAATATCGGTTCAATATATGTCTGTGATAAGCGTAATATATTCTCTGTTGTAAATTCTTCATCAAATGTGTAGGAATCATCAGGGTTTCTCCGTGCATTTTTCCCCAACATTTGTGCGGGTACAGAAAACTGTAGGATTGGTTTTTCGTTTATCAATGAATTGCCGATTACTATTCGACTATCACTGCCAACCAATTCCTCCTCGCGAAGAAGTGCGTCTAATCCTAAGATTAATGATATAGTGTACTAGTTTAGTTTAATTGTTAAACTAAACGTGCCCTCATTCACAGGAGCATAGAGGAGACTGCCTAGGTACGAGGTTGTGACTGCCAAAGGGCAGTTAGCCTTTCTCTCGACCAAGTTGAACTGTGTCCTGAACCAGTGGCGGAAATCTTGGTGAGGCGGGAAGCGTCGCCCCATCTTCACACGGAAAATTACCTCATTTCTCGGATATTATTTTGACCTAAAAGAGGGCTAAAAACAGTCTTTTCGAAAAATGGGGTATGTTCTGAAAAGTTTTGTTGGAAATCTCTAGGAGGCTTTGCCCCCAGAAAAAGTGAATATCCGCCACTGTCCCTGAACATAGATATAGGATCCTTCATCACTCAGCTACAAGTAAGGATGATTAGCACACACCCTATTTTTATACAAATCTGATCTTGTTTTTAATTTTATTTATAAACTTTGTCATCTGGTGATCCCTAGAGCTGGCCTGATTATTCCATTTACAGCGTCTCTACATGGTCTAGTGTAGGTAGTACTCTACAATAATCTGCTGTGGTTTGTGTCTCAAGTTGCTGAAGAAGATATGATAATCTCAAATGTGAGGTTCAATCGATGCTCTGCTCTTGACGATGTAGGGTGCAATGCATCTTAATGGGTTGTGGTGCAACTTAATGGTGGTGATGATGACTATGGTAATGATACTTAAAATGGTGGGTGTGGTGATGTAGATGGTAAGAATGATGGTCAAAGTGACAATGGTTAAGATGCTAATTAGTGGTGAATTGGTACTAACAATTAATAGTGGTGGTCATTGAGATAGTCATAATGGGGATAGTACTGACAATGGGGATAGTACTGATAATGGTGATTTAATAGTGGTGGTGATTTATAAGGGAGACAGTCACAATTATAGAAGTGATTTGTAATGGTAATGGTGGTAGTAGTAGTAATCATTACCATGGTAATAATGATAAGAAAGAACCATGCTGTTTTACACATCGTACCTAACTGATGATACAATTCCATTGATCGAGGATTAGTGAGCATGGCTTTGGGCCAGTTTGAAGTGCTATCATTTTTCTCTAACAACACATGCTCAATGTTATTCTTGCCCAAAATACAAGACAATGTCAAGCCAATTGGACCTCCACCAACAATTACAACAGGCACTTCTTCAACCATCTTTAAACTATAAATAAATCTATTTCATATTATACTATCAATGTCACTATTTAGGAATACTTGATGAATGCATGACGACTCAACACATCAAGACTGATTAAAGTAGTGACTGTTCATAAGGGAAAATTTTCACCCCGACAGGGGTGCGCATTAAGGGGGTTTGATTGGGGGGGGGGGAGTTAATCACATGCCATAAATGTCTATTGTAGAGAACAAGAAAGTTGGCCCCAGACCCCCTCTAGCAATTTGTTGAATGTGTGCCCCTACACCCTGGCTTCAGATCTCTCTAGTTTCAAGTGAGATCTGGGCAAACAAACAAGCCTTACTTTCATATAAACATCTCTGTGGATACTGTGGGGATGATTTGTCCTCCTAGTGAAGTGACCAGAAGAAATTTTAATTTAATAGTTAATTATTAGGAATTCATGATTTTGCATTGGATTTTATGTTATATAAAAGGAATAACCTGGCTTATAGTTGTGTAATCTGCACCCATTGGTGACTGAGTTCCAGTAAGAGTGAGGATCTCCCAGAGGTTTTTATTTTCGAAGTGACTATATGACCGGCAGCCGGTCACGGTTTATCAAATACTAAATGGCCGGCAGTCTAGTGACTATAGTTGAATATAAAAACTTTTGTTTGCGTTAACTTGTACCGAGCTTGTCGTTAGCTCATACGGCAAGGGCGCTGCGTGCGGAAAGTTAAGCGCAGTCGGGGTCGCGATGTGTTTTGTCTGACTTAGCATTGTTTTTTCTTAAAATTTTTTAAACTTTTTTTCCCGACTTTTCTAACTCTCAAAAGGTTAGGGTTAGGGGTTAGGGTTAGAAAAGGGTTTGGGGTTGGGGATAGGTTTATCTTATAAAAATTAAACTTTAACAATAGTCACTAGACTGCCGGCCATTTAGTATTTTATAAACCGTGACCGGCTGCCGGTCATATAGTCACTTCGTTTTATTTTTTAGGGAACACGGGAGAACAAGGCCAAAGTCCAAACAAAATTGATGTTGACACTTGGAGAAACAGAGCAAGCAAGGTCAAATGGCAAATGCTATTTACCAGAATTTTCCTGCAACTGCATATAATGAAAGAAGTAACAGTATTTTCTCACTCTGAAAACTGGCAAACTGCCGGTTGACCAACATCTGTGGTACGATACTGATCTATGCAGACTATGCTCCAACTGACCGGGATTACGTTTAAATAAACATCGGTTTATACATGGAGACAAAAATATGTATGAATCTATTACATAAAATATATCATCACCAGTAATTACCTTGCTCAAATTTTGTTTGCAAACCAATTTACCGTCCAAACGTTGTACTGCGTGTGACTGTAAAACTAAAACTGCAAAACAATTCTTGATCGAGCAAAACAATACGTACTTCGAGAAAACCCTTCAGAGGAAACCCTTTCCCCGGGGGGGGGGGGTGCTTTGTTCGTATTGACGTCATTAGTACCCTACCGTTAGCATGTTAATGACAATCTGTGTTAATGATGTAATATTTGACAACGTGGCAAAATGTTATATTAAATGCGTCGAAAGAAGGGATTTATTTTCCTGTCACTCATGAATATGTTTATTCTTGCTACTTATTGAATTAATGAGAATACAAGAAAATAGCATCTTTTGAACTTCGAAAATGAGCTACGTAAATCCTCTATTATTTTATCCCCTTTCTGATAACCACCCTCTTCTCCCCATCCACAACAACCAGAGACACATGTGTATTGTTTATCTATTGAACTACTGTACCAAGAGGCCCACCAAGGGTTTATGACCGACAGGCAACATTCCTTAAAAAGAGGCGACAGACTATGTAAAAAAGAGCGACAAACGACAACTTCTGACTGGGAAAAAGCGACGTCTACAAATTGCGATTTGTGTTATTGGTAAAAAGTGACAGCGACATTTATTACAATAAAACAAGCGACAAAGCAGCTACAAAATGAGTTACAAGTTGACAACCAACGAAGAGTCAGTTTACAATATTACTCGGTAGTTATAAATCCATTTTATAAAAAATCCAACTTCTTTGTTAAAAAATAAATTTAAAAAAAATATTCGTATTCAATAAAAACACTAAAAACCCGATCTACCCTAACCTACCCAGCCTTTTCTACACTGTTGAAAAAGTCTTCTAAAAGTTTTGGAAATTTTGGCTTAATAAAATCAGGGAGTTTGTTTCTTGGAGGTAAAAGTGTTTTATATTTTTGTTTCGGTTTAATTGTTCTAAGTTCGACCTTCAATCTGTCTTCCTTCGCAGTCACCACGAGAAAACCAGGTTTATCACCGATGAAGATTCTGAAAATTCAAACAGCAAATAAGTTCCAGTCACTTTAAAAACGGTAAAAATGAAAACATATACATGTCTTTGAATGAGTTTTCACGTTTCATGTTTATAAGGGCTGCTGTAATTGGCGCAAATTAAAGCTGTAGCATATACCCTGCCATTGATTGATATAGTTTGTATATTCTTGTGTTTGTATTTGTGCAGATATGATTGTGTGAAATTGGCAAAGCATAATAAATAAATAAATAAATTTTTAGTTTTTGCTCACTTTAAACTGTTTGGTTCTAGTTTTGGACGATTTGGCTGCCAATTGCGAAAAAAATTCGACGATCCACATACAAAGTGTTCCAAGGACGAATTTTCTGGGACAATATGCTATATGAAAAAGAAAAACATCAAATCAGTTATATCTTTGAAAAGAACAGATATACATGGAGTTTGTCGTATGTACGATTTTTATTAGTGTGGTCTGGAGAGAGTTTACAACCTGTAGATTATGATCATGTCCACTGATGTAAGCATTAACTTTGTGTTGTTTAAACAAATCTTGTAGCTTGTCTTGAAGAGACTGGCTGTTGCCATGCCATCCGGCTGAGAACATTGGATGATGACCAAAAACAATCAGGTAATCTGCCCTAGATATTAATATTATTATATATTAAGAATATCTGCGTATAAGAAGAGAGAAAACATCCAAGGTAAAGAGACTATACGTCTTCTGATCATTTTTCTGTGTATAATACGAACTATCGTATCTGCATAAACTGCGTGCTCAGTTCGTCTATCCACAGACCGGCGGAATTGCGCCTATGCTGGTCGTCTTGAGTGTGTTGGCGGATGATTTGTCGGAAGTACTTGATTAAACATGCTACCAGGATAATAACATCAGTACGTTAATTGGGTCCAATAAATTAATTTGTAATCACCCGGTGTAGTGGACTGGAACACAGGCTACCATTAAACCTACTTGGAGTCATTTAAAGTATTTTTGATCCACTCCATTTGTGTCTCAGCAGGGGGCGCGTTTTTCTTCTTGGGTATTCTGTAAAACAAAATTTTTGTGAAATACCTTCATCCTGCAGTGAAACTAAATTACGACATAACTGCAACCTAACTACGGCTTTGATATAGCCATTGATATGATTCAACTGATTCAGACTTGTCCCTGTTTCATGTAATGAGAAGACATTATTAAATGTCTAGTACGAGATAAAAAAATTACCTTGGAAAGCAAAGACTCATGGTATCGATCATTACTATCTGCAATGTTTTATTAGATTTGGGAATGGGAAATACTGCAAAGAAAAATATACACGCTTATGACATGAAGCCTTAAGTCAAAACCCTTCAGCCAGATTTACACTATACAACTTTCGCCTAAAACGATCGCATGTAACCTGCTTACAACTTGAGTTGTATGTTGTTGTAGGCGAGTTGTGTGGTGGTTGATTTACACAGTACAACTCAAGTTGTAAGCACGTTGCATGCGACAGTTTTAGGAAACAGTTGTGTACAGCAAATCGATCTTTAGGAATTAAAATGGAGAGGGGTTCCCAACCTCGTTCCCAGGGTCCTGGGAACGAGGTTGGGGGTTCCATCAAGAACTATATATCATGCAACAGATGGTAGTCAACTGGCAGTTCGCAGAGTGGAGAACTAATAGTAAATCTTTTCCTTATTTGCAATAGTCTTTCTTGTGGCAAATTAAATTGGAAGGAGGGGTCCAATAGCTGTCTGTTCTACCATCGCTTACGGAAACACGCAAATGGGCAATTCCAGCTATAGACCAAATTTTCATCTAGGTAAGAAGAACAAAATCCATTACCACAGCTAGAAAGAGCAAAGTGGCCGAAAGTGGTGCATATTCCCGTGCGTATAATACAAATTAATACAAAATTTGCAATTTCGTAGCTATGTTTTTCTGGCATAACATGCTCTATCTAGCTGCGGTGATGGATTTGTTTCTTGTGTAGATCAAAATTTAGTCTACAGCTAGAATCATCCATCGACAAACCTTTAGTGTGATAAAAATACGGGAACGTCCACCGTTTCGACTTCTGTGTATACAATATTTGCGCAGAGACGTTGCCATAATAGTCGTGATTGCCTGCAATCAAGTACCAGTTCTTTTGTAAAGACGGAGAACTGTAAACTCTTTCGTATGTTGCGAAAAATCTAAAATCGTCCACATGCTTAACACCCCGGTAATAAAAATTGTCTCCAGTAGTAACAAAAAAGTCCACGTTTGGAATCTAGAGAAAAGGTAGCAGAGCTATAAATCTTTATAAAAGTTTGAGGATTGTTCGCTACGAGTCTCATGCATGCATGCATGCATGCATGTAGTCTATAGATATCATACCTGTAGTACGTTTTTATGTAAATATAGTTTTTTTTGCCTTGTCAAACCACATAACAAAATTAAGGTTTATACGCGCTAGACTAACAAACTGTGATCAGTGCTTTTTGCTTTCGTAGCGCATAGATTGAACTATATACTTTCTGAAGAAAAATGTTTCATCCGCCTGCCTGACTTACGCAGTCCAACTCTGCAACTAATCTTGGCTGCCATGTTTCAATTAAGATTCTTTGTGAAATCTTAGTCCGACATTTCGGTGGAAGATTGTCATGATTCCGGGAGTTATTCAAGAGACGAATAGTGGCTGACTGAGAGGATCAATTGACAATTGCCACGTACGCGTCAGGGGGCGATTGTATACGCAGTCTGCCTTTGTAGAACCAATCTTCGTTGAATATCTTGTTGTAGCTTAGGGAAATTATATATATACTGCATATATATATATATATATATATATATATATATATATATATATATATATATATATATATATATATATATATATATATATATATATATATATATATATACCTGCCTCACAGATGTCCATGTTTATCTGCTTGAACGTATAGACTGAAACAAATATATCAATAAAATCTACGCACCTTGGCTATTTGCTTGCTCACAAGCCTTTGACTCCACATAGAATACGGCCTAACTGGAATACCTCCAATATCTCCAAGAACAACAAAGCGCAGTCTACGTTCATTTGATTCATCCGCTTTTACGCACGAGAAAATCGAAGCTAGTAGTGCCACAAAGCTAAAATACTTCATGGTTCATACCTGCGGCGTCACTGTATTGGCAGTATAAAGCCGGATGGCATTACTGAAATAAATCACATATTTTAACCTTATTCAGCCTTATTAGGTTCCTGCATTGATAGACATATAGAGTAGTAGAGGCAGTGTGACCAGGTTTAGTACATTTTATTACCAGATCCGGTTGGATGCCCTTAGACAACCCCACCTGCTTTAAACAACTGCAACATTAAGAACAGGAGGGGGCAGCCAACCAATTTTAAGCAGTTTTAGTAAAAAAAATTGCATATATGGTCACACTGAGTAGAGCATTTAGTTGTCAGCCCTGGTAACCTAGCAACGTTATTCAACCTGCGTTTTTTAGACTAAAACAATGTGCCACCAGCGTATTGCGCGCCATCCGATAACAAAATTCGCTCCAAAATAGACGCCTGCCCAGGATTGCAGGTGACCTATGGCTACGAGGCGTTTGTTCATGGCAATCGGCAGCAAGTCAAGCTCATCTATATAAGGATTATGTGTCTCACGCATGTTGTTCATGGCTTGAGCTGAGTTTGCTAATTCACGACAGGCCTGAGTAAGGCCAATGAAAATTGATATCATGTTTCTCGTCCCCGCCCGCATGGGATTTATCTGCCGCACGAAAATTTTTCATTATTCATTATTTTTGAAAAATAGGCTTAAAAAACTCCAAATTCATCTCCAGATCAAAGTCTTATTGCTGCATTCCGCAAGCGCAACTCAAATTGTATCTTTCTAAAGATATTACTCGCCAGAATGCCTCTATTTTTCATGTCAGCCCTTGTATGTGTAGAAATATACTGTAGTGTAGGACGTATTAAATTAAAATAATTATACACCGATTTACTTCAGATTTTTATGGGGGTTTTTACTGGGTCAAGGAAATTATTGACAAGCAGAATTCAAATACAAAAAATAATGAAAAATGAAAAAATCCCGCTCCAAATTTTTGAAAATTGTGGACGAGAAACATTGTACTTATATATCAACACTCTATCACAGCGGCAGGCTCCTGTCGTGTCGCATTAAGACTTATTATGCCAGGTTTTTACAATCCAATAGAGAGATTTGACTTCTACCATTGGCATTGACCAATCAGGTGCGTTTGATATATCCGATTAACCAATCAGATGCGTGCGACTAAGCCAGTGAGAGGTAGTGGCAGTTGAAGTCAAATCTGAACCTCGCTATATCAAACACCATGTTCCAGTACCATTCTATCATCCCGAGTCGTGATCCAGTAATCAGAATTTTTCTGAATCCCATTTGATCGCCATGCCATCCAGTCATTGTTTTGACATGTGCACTGTTATATGACATATACTTTCGAGAACACGCAAATTATTCGAGTACACTCCCGAAGTCTTTATGTGCTCTATGAAAATTACATTGTGAGTCTTAGTCGTGTTGCGAAATATTATTTATTGTGGAAAATGAAAGCATATGTTAAGGCCCTGTCACTGCACTATTGCGTATGACAAAAACGTATGAGAAGCGTATGAAAATTAATGAAATAATTTTCGTACGCACAAAAATCCTTTGCCAAAATGCCAGCGTATGAGTACCGTACATCTGGTACTGACCTCTAGCGTATTCAGCGTGTGCCTAGAGTATGCTTATCGTATAAAGCATATGTCCGATCACGATACGCACAAAATGTTTGAGCATGCTTCAAAAAAAATTTTCTGTCTCGCCGTATCCCAGCGTATGCCACCGTACGGGACCGTGCTTGAAACGTATACAACCTATGCTTAACGTACCCCTAGCGTATGTCAGCGTATACCGGCGTATGAGTGATATTTTTCATACGCTGTCGCTGGCATACGCTAGTACGATACGCAACAGTGTGACAGGGCCTTTACTACCATAGTTACCTATTTACAATTTAATCGTTTATCTATAGTTTATACATGCATTCGAGTGTCAGTACGTGAATCTACTGTTTGCCGCATATCTTTTTCTTAAGCCTGGAAGATTATTATCACTGGACTGCCTTCGTTGGCCCTTGTCAGCATCTCTGGTTTCTGATTCATCTCCACTGAAAATATACCAAAGTACACTAATATACCTTCAGCTATATACATGAGCTGGGCCATTGCGAGGGACAGGAGGCAACTTGTGCAGGCCTGGCCTCCAACCTGATAAGGGAGCCGACTGTAAAGGGGCGCTCTGAAATACATTACTGTTTCTACTGTTCATGGCTGCAGAAGTTAGGTTTGAGTGAGATTCAGATTTGACTTCCACTACCGCTACCTCTCACTGGCTTAGTTCGCATCTGATTGGTTAGTTGGATATACGAAACGCATCTCATTGGTTAATGGTCCCTTATTGGAAGCATAAGTCAAACCTGAACCTCTCTACTAAGAGCGACGCTACTTCCATATAGTATAAGGGCTAACTAACTCCAAAATTTAAGAATTCAGTTGTCACAGCTGCCATCTACAAAAATCATATACAGCTATAGCTATCTAAGCCTGGCGTTATTGAGTGAATGCGCCGGTATTATTCAAAGTATATTTATTCGAAGATTGGCTACCTCCGCAAAAATTATACCTACAGGCATGCTACTGTTTGAAAACCATGCACCTACACGCGAAGATGAGCAGCAGTCATTCATCGAAGGGTATTAGGGAGAATGTTCATGCAGGAAGACTCAGTTATAGAGCTTACTGTATCTCAGGCTAGAAAATGATAAAAGGGATTTTTACTTACTAATAATATTCCCAGACGTTGTAATAATAAATACCAAGAGCAAAGATGAGAATCGGGGTAAATGTCAGGTAATAGAGCACTTCATAAGCCGACAGCTGAAAAAAGAGCAAATTTAAATTACTAATAAGGTCTAATAAGTAAGTATATAACCGTTCCAAACTGTTCTCCCCAAAGGTACAGCAAGGGTGCAATTTTATTTCTCCACTGTTATTAAGAGGCAATTTTTTTCAATGTCACGTATTTGCAATGAAAAGTGTTCAAAACCTAAAATCGTTTTGGCGTTCCTCTCAAAATTACTTTGTTTTAGCTTTATTCTGTAGTTTATAGAGTTAGCTACCTTTTTAAATGCATCTGCCGGTTGAGAAACATAAAATAATAAAATAATAAAAAATTGGCAATTAAAATTCAATTATCAATGATGCTTTAAAATTGACGCCATATTTACAGCCATATAAGCAAAACTTACTGGACTTCAGACATCATTTTCTCTTTGGCGTATCATCTAAAATCTCTTCATTTTAGCATTATTTTACAGATAAAGCACTAAACATACTTTTTAAGTTTGTTTGCCGATTGAGAAACGTATCGAAAACTAAAAATTTTGAATTTAGTCATAACCTCAAGTGATATATTATACGCATTAGTTTTGAGCGCGTGTTACGTAACATACAAAAAAATCTCCTCTTAATAGTTAACCAAATTATCTATAACCAATTGTACATTGACCAGGGAATGATGCTGGGTACCTAGCTGAAGATTTAACCGATCCTATAGATGATTCCGAATCATGGAGATTGGCCTATTCATGTCCGAACCTCTTTCCAACATATAGTTATAACAAACATTTTTGCTGCATTATATCCAGTATTAAAAAAGTACCTCGTAATCGAGTGGTTTCCAGTAATCTTTGCAATTGATGAGAGAACACGTTTCTTCTACAATTTCATCTGGAATGATAAAAAGCCATGCACTTTTCTAACACAAAACAGTTTCACAGTGTTCTTCGCCCAGGTATTGGAAACGCCGTGAAAAAACTATTTCTTAAGTCTGGTTTACACTATCAAAGTTTCTGTGCTCACAGTAGGAATTTTGCATTGGTAAATTCTAAGATTTGAAGGATTTGTAAAAAATGTTTGAGGAAACAGACTCGGTGTTTAACACTGCTGTGATAACAGAAACTTTGATAGTGTAAACCAGCCACTAGCCATGCTTTCTGAAGGTGGAAAAACCAGGTAACAATGATTCTTCAACAGAAGCGACATAGGCTTCCTGGAAGCCAAATCGTTCCCGCAACAATCTTTATTTTATTAGTAGTTTTCTCAGGGTCACGGTTTTTAACCGTTCCATGCAACAAAGATACAAACTTACTATAAACTTGTTTGTAAGTGAAAGATCCCCGTGTTTCGTCAATTGGTATACATGATTTCACAAGACTCTAAATGATCATAAGTAATGCAGTGACTATATGCGCTGTGGTGCGTATCTAAACTACGTAAAAAGATTAAAAGTACCTCGACCTTTCGGCCGATCACAAAAACTTATATATCATGCATAAATTATAAACTGGGCTAATTACGGATTCAGTTTACTCTGCCCAGCAAAGCAAGATAAAGTTAAACTGTTGTTAATTTCTCATCTTTTCAACCAAATATAACCAAAATGTAATCAATCTGTCCTGGCTTGGGCAATGTGCATTAGTCCCACAAATTTTTGTGTTAATACGTTTGATATTTTGTGTTAATACGTTTGATATTTCGTGCTAACCATAAAACAAACGAACACACACACCTCATAGCCTCCTGGCGGAGGTACTGTATTATAACAACGGCAACAAAATAAATGGCAAGAATACCAAAAAGCAACAACAACAACAAACACAGACAACGCCCCTAAGATGAAATCTCACCACACATTTCTTTCTTAGTTTAGCCATATTCTCGCCATTACACAACGCTTTACTCCAGAAATGTTTATTTCTTCTTTCCTTGTTTAGGGCGTCACAGCGAAATAGTTGACAGTAGTCAGCCAGACACACTGGAGAAAGCTAGCAAAGAGAAGTCACTGGTTGTTTTAATGTATTCTGATATATGGTGCTGAAGACGATGAAAATGGCAAATAAATAATCATATTAAAACAATGATAATGAAGATAGCAATGACAGGTTTTTCTCACGAAAAACAGCATTTTAGGTCATGCTTTTTGTAGATAGTTGCATGGCATAGTGAGCTATGGCATGATCAGGGGGAAATTTTTGAGAAATTAAACCTCACTGAGAGAAATTATAATTTTGACAGTAGGAAAACTAGTAAGAGATTGAGAAAATCTGACAATTCTGTTCCTCATGCGAATCACGCAAATCCTAAGCTCACGCAAGACCTAAAATTGAATTTTCTTCAATGCTACTGCACATCAGTACTTCTAACACAACACATTTGATGCAGTTTTGAATACATTTATTTCATGTCCACTTACAGCTACCAAAGATCTCAACATCTGTTGCTCACATGTTTTAGTTGAACACAAAAAAATGGTAATGGTGATACTGGTAAAAATGATGGTAATTAGTGGGTATGGTAGTGATAATTAATATAGAGTAAATGGTGGTGATATGGTCCATTTGGAAGTGAATGAATAACTAGCTTTTCATATAGTACCTCCTCCTTAACTAACAAATCTTGATGTTTATTTTCCATGTGAAGGTCCAGAAATTCTTGTCTATAAAAAGCTTTTCCACAAGATTGACAACTCCATCTTGCATTGTGTTCAAACAGCTTGTGTTCTTCTTGAATGTGATATAAATCTCGAAATCTCCTCAATGGGCATTCTTCAGTTATATTTACTCCATAATTTTCAAATATTGGGAAGAAATTCTATACAATTCAATGCCAATATTTGATATTATAACAGGCAATATTTTGCTTCCTTTCTGAATGTTGTATTGGATTCAAATTATGGGTCAATTTCTATATTACATCCACAATATAAATATGCTCTTACCCTTACAATCTTAATCCAATCCAAATCTCTAATCCTAACCCAACCTAAAATTTAATATTACATCCTAATCCTATGCTATTTTAAATCCTAATCCATAAACTAATAATCCTAAAACTCAATCTCAACATAAAATTAGTCTGTCGTGACATCATTTCTGGATACTTATAGATGGAAATAGTTTTTGCTTCATTGCTATCCGACCTTGTCAAGGACTTTTCTCACCAATCTTGATCCTCCTCGAGAACAATGTGGAGATGAATAGGACTATAAATAATACCACAATCATAGTGAATCATTGCCCTTCCATTCACTCTGGGGCTCAATTATAAAGAAAAAAGAAGCTGAAAAATCCTATACTGTAATACAGTACATCCATCATGTTGACAGTTCTAGGTGTTGTAGGTAATTGACAGCCATGCTTATCATTACTAGCTATTTTGTGTAGGTCAATCTACTGAGGCAGGGGGTGCATACCTCAGGTTGGAAAACATGACTTGGTCACTGCTATGCTCATGCATAGCAGATTCAGACAATGTCCAATGATGAGTAAAATCATCTGGCATTAGACGGAGTAAAATAATGTGAGGCTTATTGGCACTTAACAGGTTAACTAGTCTCATACTGATTGTCTGAACTTATTAAAACCTTAACATGTTAGTTACAAACATTGAAATTTCACGTGACAATAGCAAAAATCAATATCTGCACCTGTTCATCTTTAGATGCAACCGACGGTATTTATAAATTGATTTTTAATTCTACACTATTAATTCACACTGTACCTCCGGGATAAGCAAAAATGATAAGAAAAATACTTGGAGCGGAAGCTTAGACAAGCTTCTAGGGTATTTCATTACAGATACAGCACCATTTCACGATATTTTGGGTATTAATTTAGAAAAGTTATAGATATTTTATCAAAGTTGGACGCCATGTTGCAAATCTTTGTATTAGTCCCTAGTCTTCTCGCGCTTCCCTCCGCACGTGTTACAATTTGTTGTTGTTTACACTGTAAATGTTTGTAACTTCTTTTTAGTCTGTGTTTAGTCTATTAAGCTGTAAATTACTCAACCATGCCTCGTGCTAAAAGGTGAGACAATATGTATAAAGTGAGCTTAGTTTGAGGAAGGGTTACAAAAACTGCTTGAAAGCATATTAAAGTTTCGTTGATCTTTAATAAATATTAACTATAGTTATTATAAATATAGTAGTGTGTATATATTTCCTGGTACATTTAGTTATTCACGTCTGTTTTCATGTCCAGTCATAGGCAAATGGGCAGCAAATGCATGCCATAGAGTACATAGACCTCTAATACACCCTTTCGATAATTACGTCACACATACTTTTTGGTCATGGAGCCTCGCTCGATCTCATTAGTTAATTAGACAAGGTGATTGGCTCACGATTCATGAGAGCGAGGCTCCCAGGCCAAATTATGTAATTATCGAAACGGTGTATTGAAACAGTTGATCTGAATTGAGAGTATGACCCCCTTCTCCCCCCCCCCCCCCCCCC